ATCAAATAAATTTCTGTTATGAAGTTGATTAGCGAAATTTTGAAACGAACCTTCTCAACTTTTATTTGAATTAGAATGCTTTTTTTAAATACCTACGATATGACTTCTCAGATGACAATGTGAATAAGAACTATGACGAGTACATAATAATAATAATAGAATTCAAACTATTATGAATAATTTCAGCAAAAGAAATATTTTACTGTTAATCATTCAGTCGAGGGTTAAGCGAGTCTGCCTTGACGAGCGTTACTAGTTCACAATAAATAGAATAAGAAAGCGACAAAGAGTAAGAAAAGTGACACATTTCGATGATATTAATTGATTCCATACAATGCTCGTATGTTTTCATTTGATTGATCAATGATTTTGGTAATGGTCAATTTTTTCGTCCGCAAAATATTCATGAGATGCTGTGCAGTAAATGTAATCCCACTGACAGGATTGTATTGCTGAGGTTGTAATGTGTATGGTTTTAAAAAAGGAAAATCCGTTTCTAGGACAATTCTGTCGATAATATTGTCAATGTTGACCAACCATTTATTAAAGGAAGTTTGCAATTCAATATCGCCATCCGCAAAAGTGGAACAATTCAAACCGATATAAGAGTTTTTGAAGTAATTCAAAAAAGATGTAATGACATGAAGATCAGTTTTTGCATTAATACAGTGCCAGTGTAAGCGATGATCAGAATTCAAATGTAGTTTTAATTCATTGAACATCAAGAGAAAAGATTCTGTTCCGCGACCATGTAGTACTACAGGTAAGTTAAGTTGCGAAGCTAGTTTTAATTGCATGGTAAAAGCTGTTAATTGTAAGTCATACGAAAAGTTGCTAGATGAGTCGAGTCCGCATTCACCAACGGCAACCTTTTCTGTAAGAGTGTAAGACGTGTTCATAAAAATATTTTCTAATTGTTCCAGTATATGTTTCATGTTCGACGGTAAGTATTTTGGATGAATGCCGTATGTCGTGTAAACGTCGATATAAGGATTATTCAACTGAAGATCCGTGAACCAGCGATAATATTGGTGTTTGTTGTCAATGAAAATCATTTTCCTACCATTAGAAAATTGAAGGTCGAAATCCTTCTTATTAAAACCATGACGAAAAAATAGATCGAGATGGCAGTGACCGTCATACAACGGTAATCCGATTGGTAAGTTATAATTGTTCTTACATAAGCATTTATTGTAAAGGCTATGTTCACATATACCGTTCATTTTCAAAAAAAGAAGTTCCAACAACAATAGAAAATGAATGAAAATTGTACAAGATGAAGATAAACAAGTTTATATATTCAGTCATTAATCATCATTTCGTCTCATATTAGACGAAAAATCAATAATTGTTAATCACAGTCCAATTGCTCATTTGTTACGCATTGACGTCGAATACGACAATGATCAATCAAACCAATGTCGTCTGATAGATCTCCTTTTCTATTCTTCAGATCAATACTTCTATTTATCAATTCAATTATAATTCTTTTCTCGAACTTTGTTCCACTTACACAACGCTTCTCAATACTTTTTCAGAAATTCATACAAATAACTCAAAATCGTCAGTCACACAGCGCTAAAAAGTAATACAAACCAGTCATTCTCTCAATCATTTAACCAAACAATCCTATCAGACAATACCAAATCTATTCAAAAATGATTGTCTATCTTCAATACCGTTTATCCATAAGATAAATCCATCGAACCAGTGAAATCTACCTTATTCTACCCTATTTCAACTTATATACTCTTGCAAATGAGTACCTTTGTTTTTCCTTCACAAAAAAAGTAACTTTCATCAATGCTTTTTCTTCTCAGCTTTCAAACAAAGTAAAGCGAAAAGGTTGTTTTTTCTGCACGAAGGAAATGTGAGACGTGAATTCATTAAAGTAACTCTCAAGTCAAGTCATTTTACATGAGATTTCTGAAAGATAAAATGTAGATAAATATTTGAAATATTTCTAAATTGATGTTAAGAAATGAGATTCTTGTGAGCAATTGATCGTGATCGTATTCATTGGAGTGTATATAACACTTATATTCTATTACAATCACGTAGGTTAGAATCATGAGAAAGACGTGAATGTCAATCTATATTACAATGAATGGCTGGCGTTGATCGTTCAAAAGTTGGGAAATGCAGATAAATTCAGAGTTGATCAATTCAATTGAAAGAGGTACTTAAGTCGATTCAATTTATCAAGAGGAAAATCTAGGTCAATTCAATCGAATTCAGTTGCTTAACTATGACGAAATTGATTTCAATATTCATGTTTCAAATGAATAGATGTATAGATATGTACTTGATTTCCACATTCTATTGCTGTATTATCGAAAAAAAGAATCAGTATGCCTTTCATTTTTATAATGATATATGAAATTGATATGAATATAATAAACTCATATGACATAGTTCATGTACATATTAGTGCTTGAAGTTCATATCTGTTGTTTGTGTAAAGATAAACTACATTAAATCAATACGAATATGTCATTGTGATGATATTGAATCAACATCAACATGAATACTCTGTTATTATAAGGTGGTTGGAGTTTATATGGATTTGTATACTGTTGATGATACCAAACATATGAAAAGTAGCGATGAAAATGCTTTGATTTTCAAGTATTAATTCGAACTTATCTCAATTTTTCATTTCACTTTGAAACAAAATAATGTAATAGAAAATTAAATACACGCTAGTTATTCGTGTGGATTAGAATTTATATAAAAACCTCATTGAAATCTATATCGTCTTTCTTCTTATGAAATACATCAAAATGATAGATATTGATTGTGTTTCATTCCTGTATTGTGAAGGATTTCGACAGTTTCAATTAAGTTAATAAAAGAAAGAATGCAAATGTAAGGAACTGCTTGATGAAGCGGATGATCAATATAAACTATAGAAGGAGACTTTGATGAGATTGTTCGATATATCACCATACTATTTAAGTAAACTATTGAAAACAAGAAATCTTTCTCATTGAATAAGTCGTCTGTTCTCTTTCTTTTTCACTGTTCATATAAAGGCAGTGAATGATTTTATATCGTCATTCTTGACAATGTGTACCAGATAGGGCACGAAAGCTCGAATCCTCTTTATTTCTGTATGAAATAAACTTATTGACATGATTTTCTCGGCAGTTATCTCTTTTCTTTCTTATCTATTTCCCACTGCCCTTTCCCCTGGATTTATTTCTGATCTTCGCTCAAAGTACGGCGAATCGACTCTGGTAAGTATAAGACGTAGTGAAAAATTAAGTGAAAAATTACAGAAAGCAAAATGTGATGTTGAATTTCTTAGGTGTTGTTTGATTTATAATCTGATGCCTATCTTTGTTAACATCCGTCTATGGAAGCCAGGCATAAAAACTTCAGAGAAATACAAATCTTTTCAGCGTAGTTGTCTCTTGCGCGAATTCGAGTCTAGGCAGAAACAATCGAGACAATTAGAAAAGCAAGTAACATCGATCTTAACAGAACTAGAGAAACATCTTTCTAGTATAAATTTTGTCAATGTGAAAAAGTTTTGTTTGAATTCAGCAAGTAGAGTACACCGTGAGGCAATGGAAAATCATAAGAGAAAACTAGAGCAGTTAAATGGAGGTCCTATAGGGCAAAACTATGATGAAATGAAATCGAAGCTGGTCCATAATGTATCGTCATATACCCTTACGCAAACAGAAGAAAGATTATTATGTCGAGGCTGGGATTTTTGTATTGAGGATAACGTGAAGAATTTTTTAGATTTCGAAACAGACCTTGAATTGAATGCTATGAAAATTCAACCGCATTGTCATGAATCAGTTTTTCGTTTAGTTTGTCGTAGAATACATACTGCATCGCAGCAACTTATGAGTAGATCGAAACATAAGAAGATGAGGAATTTATCAGATGAGGAACTAGTAGCATTGAAATCGTTAAAATCGAATAAAAATATTGTCGTATGTAAAGCGGATAAGGGCAACAGCATAGTAATATTGGATAGAGAAGTGTACATGAAGAAAGCAGAAGAGATATTGAAAGGAAAACAATTTAAGCAGTTAAATAGTGAAAATTGTCATCTTGAACGAGAAGAAGAACTAAACAAATACATGTTATTTTTGTATAAGGAGAATGTAATAGATAATAGACTTTGTCTTCAATTAAAATCAACATGTTCCTCTATCTCAGTGTTTTATGGGCTCCCTAAAGCACATAAAGCAGGATACCCACTAAGGCCAATAATATCAACTATAGGAAGTTATCAGTACCAACTATCTAAATATCTAGCACGAGCAATTCGAAGCGCACGTCCACAAGCTCAATCCTTCGTAAAAGACTCATTTAATTTTGTTAATAAGATGAAAGAAGTAGTACTAAATAAAGAGAAGACTTACGTAAAATGCAGTTTTGATGTAGAAAGCTTGTATACTAATGTTCCTGTTAACGAAGCCATTGAGATCGCATTGAATTACATGTATAAACCAACAAAGTTAATCGACGCTCCATTTAACAGAGATCAGATGGAGAAACTCTTGTACTTGTCAATAACAGATGCGCCGTTTCGTTTTCATAATAAGATCTACAATCAAATAGATGGAGTAGCTATGGGTAATCCCTTAGCTCCGATAATAGCCGACCTATGGATGCAAAAGATGGAGGAAAAACTTAATAGGTTTAGTACGAACAAACCATTGTTATGGTTAAGATACGTAGATGATGTTTTTTGTATATTTACTATTTCGAAAGGAAAAATTGATGAATTTCATTCTCGTATAAATAAGTGGCATCCCAACTTACGTTTTACCCTAGAGCTTGAGTCATATAACTCCATTTCGTTCCTTGATTTCCTCATAACCCAAGACGGAGAGAAACTAACTACATCGCTGTACCGTAAGCCAACGCACACAGGACTTTATATGCTATGGGATAGCAATCAAAATCGCAAGTACAAAATAGGACTTATAAAAACATTAGTCATACGTATCTATAGAATCTGTTCTAATACATCACTAGTAAATAAAGAACTACAGCTATTAAAGAAAACACTCTCGGATAATGGATATCCTCCACACATAGTCAGAAGAGGTATAGCAGAAGGACGATTTCTAATTATAACAAGATCTCAAACTAACAATAATAATAAAAAAGACGATAAGAAAAACAGTATTTACTTTACCTTAAAATACTACGGACAGGAATCTATCATCTTTGCGTCTCAGATAAGAAAATTTTGTCAAAAAGCAATTCCTAACCTAACAGTCCGATTCGCCTTTCAAAAACACATGAGCTTGAGGAGTATATTTTTACCTATATTGAAAGGAGTAGATGAAAGTAAAAAGAGAAAGAATTTAGTTTATTCCATCCCATGCGCAAATTGTGATAAAGTTTACATAGGAGAAACGAGTCGCATGAAAGAAACACGAATGAAAGAACACCAATCTAATATAAGAACATTATCGTCGAAGTCAAAACTAGTTGAACATATTCTAGAGAATAACCATCAATTCGATTTTAGTAACACAAAAACACTAGCACTAGAAAGTGACTGGAGAAGGAGAGTTGTAAAGGAATGCATTTTAACGAAAAGAACGCTTGGGAAATCCATAAATGATACAAAACATTCCATTCAAGTAGTGTGTTAAGGATAGAACCATAGCAATATCATTATAGGTTCATCTTTTGTCCCGTTTCATTCCTGTCTTACTGACATGATGTTATATGCTAAGTCCTAAGAATTACCCATATCCAGATCATAGATTACCATTTATTACTCTCTTTTTAGATGAAAGCTGTGTTCCAACATCTTGAACTACTTCATTGAATGTTGTGAGAAGTGTTCCACCCTAACATCAAGGTCGATGCTCTCCACATTAAATAGTAGTATTCACTTTTGAATTTACCGCTTAATAAGTTCTCTCTTCTGATTTTACTTTCTAATCTATTTTATCTCGTGTTCCATAGTCGGAAATAATGTATTCTACTTAGTGTTGTGAGAAACAGTCCACCCTAACATCAAGGTCGATATTCTCCACATTAAATAAGATTATTCACCTTTGAACTTACCATTGATTTTAAATCGTTTGATTCACTCTACTCGATGTTGTGAGAAGTGATCCGCCCTAACATCAAAGTCGACACTCTCCTCATCAAACAAAGCTAATGGCAATATAGGAAGTGAAAAGGTGAACGAGATTAACCTGCTCTTCATTTAAAAACATACATAATGAGGAAAATATTCACTTGTTCATTTAATAGATTTTATTTGGTTTTATTTTAATTCATTTCATTATGTACAGATATCGCTGTGTTTTTCTTCTCTCAATTTGTTTAGTGCTTACTCACTTGCAACAACAACAACAACAACACACATTATTGAAACAACAACCAATAAAATAACATCCAAGTCTACATGCTTCCATTCATTATCTTACCATTCAACATCAGATGTCATCTCCAACACATCTTATTATTGACTACATTTCTTTGCTCATCTGTATATTGAATTTTAATTTTCACTTTGTCATTCCTGAAGATGTATTTCAGAACAGAAGTACGAAAGCTCGAATCCTCTTTATTTCTGTATGAAATAAACTTATTGACATGATTTTCTCGGCAGTTATCTCTTTTCTTTCTTAAGATTTAACATGTTGTTGTTGTTCTTGTACTGAGAAGGAGCCCCATCGCTAAATAAAAATACACCAATTTATCAAAATTCACTGACGGATTTAAGTGGTTTCATACCTAACATAGTGAATCTTATGAACATTGGGGTATTCTTCTCGAATAAACGCAACTATAATCTTTTGGGTGCAACATACGAATGCTGTATCATGCGTCATTCTATTTGAGATCAGTACCATGTTTCGATGATCAGCGCCAGTCTGAGTGACAACAGTATAAACGGTGGCTTGTTTCTGACTCCAATAGGCCGATTGAACCTCATTTTGAGCGACAAATGTGAAGTTCTCGGCAAAATCGACATGAACCACAGAATACGTGGTTAACGAAGAATTCAGTTTGATCGATTTGATGTAATGGGGTTGCTTCCGAGTAATATATGTATGCGTTATGAAGGATGACCAACGGCTGTTTAGTTCATCGATAATAGTGTTGAAAGAACTAGTGAAGTGTTGTAATTCGACATGATTGTTTCGGGTTGTCCATAAAGACCAAGAAATATGAAACTGTTCATCGAAGTTGTAGCCATTCGCGAACAGATCAGATACTTTGCCGTTGCAACATTCATCGCAGCGGTTAAAATAGCAATCTTCGGAAGGATCAGCGCACACTGTTTTATCAATTAATTCACTTGCAACCAAGCATGCTTTTAGCTTTTTATTCAGCGCCTACGACGACAAAGACAGAGTTTCGTTAGTTTTTCGATCGTATAAACTCTTACTGTTAACAAAAGATCAATGTTCTGGTGTTGTATGCACATACAAACCTGGTGCGAGCAATCTTGTCGAATCCAATACGGTCTTAACGTGAAGAATTTTGATCGACTAACCTTGATATGAAAGTATCTATTTTTGAATAATTGATACGTTTCACCTATAGACATTGTCATATACCTAATAACAACAACTCCAATATCTTTCGCAATTCGAGTGTCTTTCGTGTTTGGTGATTGTCGGCTTATTTCATCATCAAGATAGAAATCCTGGATGGTTTGCTGAGTTTTGATGTCCAGCGATTTATTTCCACGATGATCCGTCGGTTTCGAGAAATCGTCATGCTCCGTTCGTTGCGATATAGCAGCGCGCGCCTGGTGTGAGGTACACTGAAAAAAGTGTTCAATCCTTTCTCTTCCCCACTCTAATGGAGCTATCTGAATAAGCAGTACTTGTTCGTGATAGCTACTTTTCTTGAACAAACAACGCAGTCGATGGAAAAAATCTTCAATTTCAGATGCAGAAAAGTCAATAGACGAACGCCTCTCAATTGTTGTTTGTGGTTTCAATGTTGTTCTTTGTTGTGAGGACACAATCGGCACTAACTTTGATGTGGTAATCACACAATTAAGCCATTCTTGGAGCATTCGATGAACCTTGTCAATTTTTTCTTTGCTTTGAATGGTGTTACGTCTTAAATAGAACAAAGTTAAACTGAACCAATTAATATTGCTGTCTACTTACGGCACAATTGGTTCAAGATTGAAGATCTTCAAAACCTCATTAAGTTTTCTCACAGCGTATTCTCGCTCTGCCTCTATGACATCAGATGCTTTTGGTGTTCCTTTTTCGTCTTCACTCCAAATGCAACCTTCTTCAACTTCCATTTTTTCGACCTTAAAATTGAGATCCAGATTGTTGAAATGTCGCATTCCACTCGTTTCTTTTTCGAAACACCTTCGACAGAGCAATTGAGTAGCATTTACATTTGTTAACGAGTTATCAGACGTACTTGAACCGGTTTTGTTAATATAGTTCGCAAGATCAAGACCAATGCGACGGATTCCGATAGGATGAGTCGGCTTCGGCCCAAACTTTGTACATTTCTTCACTCCATCAACTGTTAATCCTAAATGACACCAATGAACGCACCAATTTCTTCTCACTGTTGGCATACCGAGCTTTCCAAGAACTATTGAACACGAGAAAATTTTCATAAATCGTATGGAAACTATTCGACAAAAGAATTACCCAATGAGATTTTAAGATAAGCGAATGTGCGGTGCCGCCACCAGTCAGACACACATCACGACATAATATAAATTCGTTATTTTAACACTCCCATTTCGTCCGGATCGTAGGCTGAAAATGTGTACGTTGTTGCATCACTAGCAGTTTGTTCACGCAAGTAGTAATGTTCATCATGAACAGATCTGTTTGCTGTCATAATGCAGTTACAAAGCACCACAAGTAATGAAAGACTCGTCCTATGTATCGGTACTTATGTATAAAATACTATGAGCTAATATATAGGTGAGAAGATGAGATATCAGTAGAAAAGTGCTAGTTGGCAAATATGTGATGATATCTTCGCGAAATCAAAAGGGTGCGAAGTTTCGGTTGCGTGGGGTTGTAGAGCAAGTGAAGCTCTATCGAATGGCAAAAGGCACGACAGAAAACAATTCGGCGTTTTCAAGAAATTCAAAATTTACTACTAGAGTCGTTTTCAAGACTAGTTATAGTAACTAGGTCATATTTTTCCTAAAAGTAAAATGCTTGTTGCATGGTTAGATGCGCCTTTTCACAAGGAATCAGAATATTATATTGGATGTTAATTTTTATGTTGATTTCATAGAGAAAATCGAAAAAAACCTTAGGCCAAAATTGAAAAAATCTTCGATTTTCCTATTTTAGGGTAAAAAGTGTTTTCCTCCCAGTTTTGCGAAAAATTGGTTTAAAAAGAATTTTTTTTTAGCAAAAAGCTTAGAACTGAATGCTCTATCACTGGTAAAAGTTTCATAGAAATCTCAGAAAACTTTTGTAAGCGCGGTTGAGATCTGGTGGATTTACCCTCATATAATCAAGAATAATAGTGTTCTTAGTAGTACATTCGTTTTTTTGTTTTAACTTTTAGATTAAATTCATCGTGACAAATATTCTTTTTCTTTTCTGACAGAAAGGTGTTAATTGTTACTGATTGATCATCATAATCGAGCGACGATGGATTGAAAATAAACATTGGTGTATCAGCT